TGCTACTGAAAGACACCTTGGTGATTCGACGCGATTCTGATTCAGCTTTTGATGATTCGAGCCTTTTTACCACGGCTTTTCCCCAAGATATCTTCTGCCACACTCTTTTGAACCTCACATTTCCTTTCCAACCCCATTCTAATGGTGTTTCACGGTTGGTGTTTATTTGGTGAATCATGGGCTACATATGGTATGGGAAGGGCTCCTGTGTACATACCAATTGGGTTTTCTTTCATAAGTTCTGCAATGGCAGACTTTGCTTTGAATTCTGTCATCTCACTCCAATATTTCAAATTGGTGCATATGTCCGAAGTTAACTCGTGACCAAAAATAGCTTGTTTGGAAATTCAACTGTCGATGGACGGGTGATTTTGAATTTTGATGTTTAATTTCTTTTCGTATCGCATCGAGTTATAGGTACATTGATTTGAGATCCGACTAACGCCTCGTAAGATCCTAATCATGGGGTGACGGGGCACGAGTCAGGTCATGGTGGAAGAAGAAGTGATTGATTATTATGCTTCCTCATCCTCCACCTCTTCGATCTGCACAGACCGAAGTTCCTGATTGAACCGCCTCTCCTCTTCTTCGAGTCTGCGTTGAGCGTCGTCATCATCTGGTGCAGCTGACGAAGCTTTCTCCTCGCCTTCTGCAGGTCCGGCATTATACCCTGCTTGCTCCAGCCGATCCATCTCCTCTGGTTCCAAGAGCTTGCCTTGTCCCCGTATAGCTTCCTGTTTGACCCTGACAGCTGCAGGAACGAACTTATTGATCGCCTCTTGTCGGAGATTCCTGATCTCCGGCTTGGCCTCGTACACAGTCTTCGCTTCAACGACGGGCGGTTTCGCCGGAAGAGCGTGCGGGCCCCGACCACCACCTGCAGCCTCTCCTCCTGGCCCTCCTTTCCGATACTGTCGCGGGATAGGCGGAGGCGTATCCCTCGGCATGGGTATCCTTCTCACCTCCTCATCTGTCTCGTCGCTACTACTACTCCCGTCATCACCATCGTGCCTAAACCGGTTGCCGTCGCCGCCATCTCGCCTGCGTTTGCCTAAGACTGCAGCATCCCCGCGCCCACGGTGCTGACCGCCTCGTCTAGATTCGAAGTTGTCGAATTTGGGTGCCTTATCGCCCAACGCTTCCCTGGCCTTCTGCACGGCGCGCAGATCACGTTCCAGGGCTTCCAGAAGCTCCTGATCGCGGGGTCGTAGCTTTTGTCCTGATTCTTCAAATGCTTTGAGGTCGTTGATTTGTCGTTGGATGCGCTCGGGGTTGCGACGCGCTAGTTTCTCGTTTCGTCGGGCTTGCGCTTCGGCTTTGCCTTTCTTGAGACTCTTTTGTTTGTCGAGTTTGCGTTGCGCCGCCGCGGGGTTTAAGCTGCGTTCTTTGTCTTTGGGCATGGTGGGTGATGGGTTGGGGAGGGTGAAGTTGAGGTATGAGGTGGATGGGTAGGGCGTCAATTACTCCACGGGGATGGGTATTGTTCCGGCTGTCTGTTTAGGCACTATGTGGGTACTAGATGATTTGATTTCTTAATGTCAGTCAGTCAGATCCAATCCCACATATGAATGTAGTTCTTTGTAATTCAGATCTTGAATTGTCGGGGATGAGAGGGGCAGGGTTGGGTATGACGAGCTCCGGAGGCTGTATGGCCATCAGGAAGCTCCCGCAGCAGACTAAGCTATGGGGAATGAGAAAGAAATGTGCTCACAGGCTAATAGCTAACCAAGCTGCATGGGAAAGCCAACCACGGGCGCAGCGGATTCGCGAAGCCGACTGTAGCTGCGGAACCTTGACCCAAGACCAATAATATCAAGGTCACGACAACCTAGGGCGCAAGGCTCAAGCCTCACGGGTTGGGCAGCGCAACGAGACTTACTCTTTCCTTTTGCCGAATAACGAGGAGGCCCAGTAGTCGGCCTGAAGTATGGGGTGTGTGGATGCCGGCGTCGTCGATGGCGGTTGAAGAAGCGCTTGGTGCGGCAATTCGGAGGAGATGGTTGGTGAGGTGCTTTTGTCAGCTGTACGGACGCAGAGCACAGATAGGGCTTGAGGGGAAATTGATTGGAGATTAGGAGTCGCCTCGGTAGAAGGATTCGAGTAGGATAATATGAAGGTGGTAACAAGATGATTGGGTGCCTGAGAGGGGAAGAACGGTGGAGTGGGAGAAGAGCGTTTGGAGAAGGACGCGATGCCGTCAAAATTGCGGGCGGGCGAAGTTGAGAGAGTTCCTTGCCTGTTTGGGGGTCACGCTCCCTCCCTTTCTTTCCAACACTGCCGTTCGTCCAACAATCGGATGATCCTGGTTGACTTTCGCTTTCGAATGGATTGATCGATTGGTGTAGTACTATATCCTGAGTTGATTGTCAGTGCGATTGCAAGTCAAGGGGATTAATTATATCGCATCAGCCAATCTTTCCCGTGTCGGTCAGGATATTGTTCGGTATAGAAGGTCACCCCCGACTGCTGCTACTACACCATCACAAGTACCTCTTCTCCAAGATTCAGGTACCCAAGGATCACTGAGGAGAACAGGAACGTCTGTAGAACGAGATACGGTGCATAAAAAGACCCCCACGGCCTGGTCTACTCACCAACTGTCCTGAATCTTATCATTTTCATCGTTGCTTCTTCCTGTTCAACCTTGTCATTTCTGTTTCCCCTCCGAACGGGTTCCCGCACCTCCATCTTTTCTATCTACACTATCCTTCTACTAGTACAACCTCTCTCTCTTCCTTGTATTCGCCCGCGACATTTTTTGCTCGCTCCTCCTCCTCCTCTCCTCCTCCTCCACATTCCAGCCAACTTCCGAGGCTGACCACTGGCCCGTTCGTCTTGAATCGCTCGTGCCAGGCTCTTCCTTGAAGATCAAATCAATAGCATTGTCGCCCGTCAGTGTAACCCCCGACCGACTCACGGGGGCTACTTTCTTCGTTCCTTTTTCTCTGTCACCAACGATCCAATTATCGAGCCTTGTCCCCTCTCTGGCTTCCCTCCTTTGACTTCCAATGATACCTTAATCATTTCTCTCAACGGATTATCATCCACTTCGGGGAACTGACAAGACTCCGTCCATTGACCGGGTCTTGATCTGTTTCCTCTTTCCCTTCTTCCCTCCCCCCCTCCATCTCATCCCACGGGTCGTGTCTATCCTTGCCTGTTTTCACCTACGACATTTCTCTCTTCCCTCCTTTTCTCCCGGCTTTCTTATACTTCCCCTCTCAGACGCTCGTTCACGAGATCTCCCTCACCTGCGCATATCGGTTCTCATCATGAACTTCGGTTCGTTCAATCTCCCCACCACGAGATCGACCGGCGCTTCCTAGACTGTTGTCGCGGTAGGAGCATGTCTCTGCCGGGACCAAATGTCCGTATCAGCCTCGATTCCCGACACTTCGCTTGGCCTCACCTCCTCCGAGATCCAAATCCTGAGGCAACAACAACAAATAGCGCTGCAGGGCGGCCACGGTGCCAATGGTGTTTCCAGGGGCCGAGGGACCGGACGCACCAGCAACTCCAGTTCGCGCGCCGCCAGTGCCGCCAGCAGCCACGGTCGTTTAATTCTGGATCCCCTGAGCTTACGGGCGCTATCGCAGCAGTTGGATGGTTTGCAACAACAGATTCGCAATCGCCTTGATGATGTAGGTGCTGCGCTTTCTTCATCATTCTCTATATGCCGTTGGAGGTCCACTCCTCTACTGTTCCGTTGTTTTCCCTTTGATATTGTCTGCTACAGTGGCCCTGGCTAGCTTTGCTTCCCTTCAATACCCCTCCTGGTGATCGCCTAATATTCCGACACTAACACATAGTAGCTGGAAGAGCAAATGCAGATATCTATCCAAAGCACTTACGATCGCGCCGGCAACGTCATTCGCAACGCTGATGCCGAGATTGCCCGTACCCGTTCCATCTTAGCCTCAATTGACGACTTGGAGAATGAGCTTGCGAAGATCGGGCATATTAGAGAAATCGTGAAAGCGTATCGTGGACGTATAGAAGGTCTCGATCAACGCCTGGATCAAGCCGCCCGCCGGAGACACTGAGACGCCAACTCTCGCGATATGTTCCTGTCCACACTCCAACACACCTTATACTGTTGAACTTCAACACTCAAACCCTTCTTTCTACTCGGATTACCCTAGCGCCATTACATAGTCATTCTGCCCCGGAGGCTTCCCTATATTCGAATTTCCTCTATCGGTTAACGACCCCACGGTTGCTTATACGCCCCGTTACTCATCGACCCTTCACTGCGACCTCGGAGGTCGATGACGGTCATTGCAAAAGTAAAAACTATCCACAAAACGACGGACGAGCCACACTGTGCTCGACCGACGAACAAATATGTGTTCATAAACCAGTTGTGTCCTCGCGGACCTTGTGTTATTATAACTATGCTGCCCAACGTTCTTCATGCTGATTCTGATTCTCATCGCAGAGGCAAGGGTTGCTTTTTGCTCTTTTACCTTCGTCTGTGTATTTGGAGAGGACTGCTGTTTAACGATCGGGATATCGGCCTCGCGGCTATTATTGGCTTCCAAAACTACCCTACATTGCCAGGGTAATAAGGTGTTGATAGCGTTGGTATACCTCTGCATTTATCGTCTACTTGGAGTGCGACTCCCTCTCATCTCATGATTCACGTGTTCACTCTACGAAGTTGATGACGCCGCTGTTCTTCTATCATGTTTCGATTCCCCGACGAGCATCTATCCTGTCTGTTTTGTTTTGACTGAGCGGAATCCATTTGCAATGATATCACCTGCGTTTATGTTCGTTGAAATCTGTTATTGAATGTCAGCTGCCGAAAGCAACCTGTACCATGGTCTGTCAATACCGGTTGACGACCTAACCATCAGGCAGCCTGAAGCATGTACCCCTTTGATCAGTCACCGCCTGATATGTCCAAGAGGATACCCGGATGTGGAAGCTTCAGCGGCAAGTGTTGTATGTAAATATATTGTCCTTCTTTCGTTGACTTTCTCAATGCATTTCTGCGCCTACAAGGCCTTGTCGATATGTGGCGGACATTTCATCTCCTGCGCCAAATACTATCGAACCTGCTGCGTGTGACGCGCGCCCAGTGCTCATTCATCTCCCGAGTTGTGGTGCCATACATATTTACACCAGAGTACACAGAGGTTGATTTACTGCGTAGAAGCCTCTTCGCCCTCGCCCCCATCATACCGGTAGATATCGTTTCCGGTCCCAAAGGCTGCAGATAGGTCAACAGCCAGGACCGATCGATCCATGACGGTGGGCTACTTGGCGTCCGCTGCAAATTGAGGGTAGGCGACTGACGATGCAGGGCAGATGTAAGGTGGGATATCGGATATTCGTGATATGTGGTCAAGCACCCGCCATCACTTCATCCTTTTGCTCCTCCTTGGACGCTTCTTTCCGACGCTCAGACAACTTCTTGCTCCGCTTGTCCGTTTGAGGGAAGCGCTTTTCCGTCCCACACGTAGAACAACAGACAACTAGAACATCCGCCCATGGCTTCTTGCGGCTGCGGCTGGCGTTTCTGATTTCCTGCGTGCAGGTCACTCCAGGAATTAGAAACGTGTCGCAGCGTTTGCAGAAAGACCTCTTGACGTCGATGGGTAGCCGAAGCTGCGACTTGAGAGAGACACCGCGCATTTGCGACATATAGACCCGGGAGAGTTGAGGCAGTCGCTGTGTCGTCGATGGATTAATCGGCTTAGTCGGCTCATTCGCCGGCGAAACATCAGATTCCACCATTTGCGGTACTATGCGCTCCGTTCCTTGCAATTTGGCGCCATCCTCTGCTTCATCGATTTGGTCATTTTGTTGACTGACGGAGGGCTGCTGCGGGGATGGTTTCCTTATTGATTGTAGAAAGGTGGCCGCGTTGTAGAGATAATCGATCCGTGCGCGAATGTGGCTGTGCGCACCACCAGCAGAATCCTTCTTGCCCTTTGCTTTGGCTTTAGCCATGATGAAAAGGCATGTAATCAACGTGAAGTATGTGAAAAGAAATTAATTCACATGGAGGCAGCGGGGGAGTCTAAGCTTCTCGAGCAGCCGTCCGGCACTAACCCGATGCGGCAAGGAAGTTGGCCGCCGGTGACTAATGGACTCTATTCACGTGACTGTGATCTCGGAGGCTCAGCCGCTTCCATCCCTTCGCGCGTCGACAACCTTCTCTTCATCTCCATCGTCTTCCTTCGCGCTTCGACCTTTCCCATCCTCAATTCATCTCACAACAGTTACGAGGAGGATTTCGCATCGTCTTCGAACTAGATATTCGGCTTGCATAGCTTTTCATCCCCCGTTCAAATCTTAACGACATCTACCCAGGCTCGATTGCCTTGGGATAAGACGCGACAACAACAGAGTTTTCTCGAATACTTCCTTGATCAACACCATCCATCACCATGTCTCACGAAGAGGATCTCATCGACTACTCCGACGAGGAGCTTCAGACCACTGACGCGGCGGCCACCACCGCTGCCCCCGCCTCTAACGGAGAGGCTAAGAAGGGCGACTTGACGGTTTCTGGCGGCCGTCCGGACAAGAAGGGTAGTTACGTCGGTATTCATTCGACCGGTTTCCGCGACTTTTTGCTCAAAGAGGAACTCCTACGTGCCATCACCGATTGCGGTTTCGAACATCCATCGGAGGGTTAGTCTATCACGTATTCTTTCCCAAAGCTCCCTCCATTGCTCCATGTTCCAACGTCCGTCCATCTTCGCGGGGGAAAATCCATAGTCGTTCTGGGGCGCCCATTTCGCCTCCGCTTGCGGGCGGCATGAGGATGTCTGTTTCGCGTCATACATAAGACGAGTCGCCCTGCGGCAGTAGTGCATCTACAGCCTTATGCTTGTTTGCTTCACTTTACTCCGGTGAATTACGGCAACACCATGCTCAGGGGATACCACAGATTGGTTTGTTCGCCTGCAGAGATTCTGAACGAATCGTGGTTTGCTTCCGAAGAACACGGGTCGGACGCTTCTCCACCGTTCTCTGAATTGCAGCCGTCCTCCTGCCGCCCGCGGAAAAGAGCTCTGAACAAGATGTCTTACTGCAGCTGACACAATTTGCGACTGTGTGCAAGTTCATTTGACTTTTGTTGTTTGGTGGAAGAACATACGGGACTATAATGCATCCCTTCGGACTCAAAACCTCGGGGATGGACGGACGCTGCGACACGAATTGCTTTTTCTCTTTCTCAAAACTTATGGGTCGAGTACAAGTCTAACATACGGTTCCGCCTCACTACAGTCCAGCAAGTCTGCATTCCTACCGCTATCCTGAACGTCGATGTCCTCTGCCAGGCCAAGTCTGGTCTCGGAAAGACCGCGGTCTTCGTTTTGACCACCCTGCACCAGCTGGAGCCGGTTCCTGGCGAGTGCTCTATCCTTGTTATGTGCCACACCCGCGAGTTGGCATACCAGATCAAGAACGAGTACGCTCGTTTCAGCAAGTACCTTCCCGATGTCAAGACTGCCGTCTTCTACGGAGGTACCCCCATCCAGAAGGACGTTGAGTTGCTCTCCAACAAGGAGTCCTACCCCAACATTGTTGTCGGTACTCCCGGTCGTCTGAACGCCTTGGTCCGCGACAAGAAGCTTTCTCTGCGCAACGTCAAGGCTTTCGTTCTCGATGAGTGTGATAAGATGCTGGACCAGATTGGTGAGTTTATTTGCGCGTCAGAATTTTTTACGTTGTACTGATGATTCGTTATAGACATGCGTCGTGATGTCCAGGAGATCTTCCGTGCCACCCCTGCCGACAAGCAGGTCATGATGTTCAGTGCCACTCTTTCTCAGGATATCCGCCCCGTGTGCAAGAAGTTCATGAGGAATCCTCTCGAGGTCTACGTCGATGACGACACGAAGCTTACGCTGCACGGTCTGCAGCAATACTACATCAAGCTCAGCGAGGCGGAGAAGAACCGCAAGCTGAACGAGCTCCTGGACAGCCTGGAGTTCAACCAGGTTATCATCTTCGTTAAGAGCACCCTGCGTGCGAACGAGCTCGACAAGCTGTTGCGCGAGTGCAACTTCCCCAGTATCGCAGTGCACTCTGGTGTCAGCCAGGAGGAGCGGTAAGAATACACATTGCCCATGTCGTTGGCTATGCACTAACGGTTGGTAGTATCAAACGCTACAAGGAGTTCAAGGAATTCAACAAGCGTATCTGTGTCGCCACTGACGTGTTCGGACGTGGTATTGATATTGAGCGTATCAACCTTGCCATCAACTACGACTTGCCGGCTGATGCCGACTCCTACCTGCACCGTGTCGGTCGTGCGGGTCGTTTCGGTACCAAGGGTCTGTCGATCTCCTTCGTCAGCACCGAGGATGACGAGAAGGTGCTCAAGGATATTGAGAAGCGCTTCGAGGTTGCCCTTCCGTAAGTACAGACCGATGTTTATGAGCATGTGAACGAAGCTAATGAGTACTAGTGAATACCCCGAGGGCGGTGTTGACTCGAGCACCTACATGGCCTAGATGATTGGGCCTGTGCTCGCCGGAACAGTATGTAGCAGGAGAAATTGAGTTGAATTTTATCGCAGGTTTTTCGTCTTCGGTTTCCTTGTTTCCTTTGGCGTGATGGTTCGGCTGCTATTTAACATGTCGCTTTCTGGGAGGCACTGGTAGGGAAGGGAACATCTGGAGGATAAAAAGCGTACTAAATGATAAGGATAATAACTAGATGCCTGGGATGTGTCTTGGGCCAGTGCCTCTTAGCATGACAGTGTATTATCAAATGTTGCGATTATTTTGATTAGGACTGCTGCTTCAGATTGACTCAGATGTCAGCCAGTAGGATACTACATGGTGTCACACCCATCCATATCATAAGCAAACAAAGAAACGAACACCTCCAATGCAACATAGACAGCCCATCCACACCCGAAAAACCCCACCCTATCGATAAGACCGAACAAGCAAAGACCCCCAAGATCCCATCTCACTCACCGACCCCAAAACCTATGACGCAACCAGCCAGCCAGCCAGCACAACTTACCCTCCCCACTACTCACCACTACCACCAAGTCAATCAATCCCCCCATAAGCCTCACCCTCACATCTCAATCCCTACAACACACCTAACACACACCCAATTCCCCCCCTCCCCTTTAAAAAATTAAGAAAGAAGAAAGAAAAATGACCCCCCGATGCTTCATAATCCGCCACGGCGAAACCTCCTGGTCCCTGAACGGCCGACACACGGGCACGACGGACCTCCCACTGACCGAGAACGGCGAGAAACGGATAAAAGCCACGGGGAAGGCGTTGGTCGGGAATGATCGGTTGATTGTGCCGAGGAAGTTGGTTCATGTGTATGCTCTATCCTATCCTATCTTATCCTTACCATACTTTATTCCATTTTTCCATTGTATCCATCTTTTGTAGATGTGATAGTTGGGGGGGTTACTGATAATGGTATGTGGTGGTGATGTAGGTATGTATCGCCGCGCGCACGGGCCCAACGGACCCTCGAACTACTCGAAATCGGATGCAGAGAGAGATTACCCTGGAATGAGGCGCGGAAGTCCGAGGATGAGGAGCCGATACGTACGGAGGCGAGGGTGGAGGTTACGGAGGCTGTGAGGGAGTGGGATTATGGGGAGTATGAGGGGTTGACTAGTAAGCAGATTCGGGAGATGAGGAGGGAGAGGGGGGAGGGGGAGTGGGATATTTGGAGGGATGGGTGTCCTGGGGGAGAGTACGTCCTTCTTCTTTCTTTTATTTCGTTGATATATTATGTGGTCTGTATTGAACTGCTAAGCTAACTGATATCGGCGCCACTAGATCCCCCGAAGACGTGATCAAGCGTCTGGACGCAGTGATCGCAGAGATCAGAGAAAAGTTCCACAAGCCCTGTTTCGACGGCGACTCTGCTTCTTCCACGGGCAAGGGCGATGTTCTCGTCGTGGCTCACGGACATATCCTGCGTGCGTTTGCGATGCGGTGGACGGGAAAGCCGTTGACGGAGACGGCGCTGATTTTGGAAGCGGGTGGTGTGGGCACGCTGAGGTGAGGATACCATATACCCTCTGGGTGTTTGTTTCCTGTGCATATTGCTGACTGACTGACTCTCCCACGCCAGCTACGAGCACCACAATATCGACGAGCCGGCTATCATTCTCGGTGGAGGGTTCGTAGTCGATAGCTGAGATGGCTGACTACCTGTAGAGCATCTCATAGTTAGCAAATAGAACGAGAGAAAGTCAATAGAGAATAGTTAGACACTCACTTTACCAATACCCTTGTGCCAATTAATCCATAACACATCCATGATGAAAGGTTCTGAGAACCCCCAAATATCTTCTCCCCTCAACCCTCTCTCTTTTCCTCATCACCAGCACTATCCCCCTTAACACCCTCCTCTCCCAACACCTTCGCAGACCCCATAAACAATGCACCAACATACCCGCCCAGGAAACGCATATCCTCGGCCTGCACGGCTGTCATCCTGAGCAGATTCTCCGTGTCTCGGAGATTAGCGTTCAGTTGCTCGAGTTGATTATGCAGGTTGGTGTACTGGCGCGTCTTAGCCATCGACATGGAGGAGCTGCCCATGGAGGAGGAAGGGCCGGCGGTGGTGGAGGCGGGGAGGATGGAGTGTCGGGGGAGGGATTGGGAGTGGGTGTATTGGTGGGAGGACATTTTTGTTCCTTGTCGATAGTATGTTGAAGGCTATATTGGGTTGGTTGGGTGTACTCGGTGAGGTGAGTTGTAATGGTGATGTGTTAGAGAAGGTAATGGGAGAAGCTGCAGATAGAGGGGATTTGTTTACCCCCGCGGCACTGTAGGTCACGTGCATGTGCCTCCGGCAACAATCACAACTATCATCGTATACCATCAAACTATTCCATTCATCATACAAGTTATACTATTACTGTTGCAACCGATTAAGTCTCGTTTATTGTCAACATGTTCTAATCAATGGAGCAGTTGCCGCGCCGACATTCCCGACGCAGTTCCTCTCACTAACACCCGGTAGGAACATAAACCCAGCCAAATCAAATCAATCAATCAACAGAATAAATCAACCCCTTGCTCTTTTTATGCGCCAGAAACCGGACCATGAATGAGAAAGATGACAGGGTGGTGGGATGTTCGCGCCAGAGCCCATACAGAACAGCACAGAACAGCTATGGAAGGAGACGGCCAAGGAAATCAAGTCAAAGGAGGGCATGCATGTCAAACAAAGCAGCGGAGATGGTAGGGAATAGACAATAGGACGATGCGCCGAGCTAGGTAGTGTACAACACTGGGTCTTGCAGAAACAAGGCATGTATGGTGTGCGTCTGGCAATGAACGTCGGTGGTATAGCTGTGGAAAGTCAAAAAAAGACGTATTTATCTGGTGGAGCTTCATGCTCATGCTCATTAATGTTCGAGAATGCCGTGCAACTTGAGAGGAAAAAGAAAAAGAGATAATCAAAGTCAAGGCAAATCACCACATGCAACAATCATGCCTGCACGCACGCACGCGCCCGCCCGACCACTCCGTAGTGGAAATCATCAAACGAGAAAGTGAGAAAGTGAAAGCCCCTATGTCCCTTGGTGTATATGTAAGAAAGCCGCAAACAACAGACAATTGACATGGAGTCTGTGCCCACCCTCCTTGCCAAAGCATCTCATTAAAAGTATATCCTTTATAGAAAAGCAAAAGCAATACGGGTTAAGGGCGTCCCAAAAGCATGGAAATCACCCACCCGGCTGGAAAAGGGAAAAGATGGAGACGTTAACGAAACCAGTCGTGTCCATAGCAGTCAGCGCCAAGGCATGTGCTCAGCGACTTCGAAAGAGAGACGAAGGAAGGACGGGCTTCGCGACTCAATGAACGGGCGCTGCAGCTGGCTGTGCGCCGAGGCTGATCTGGCTGCTATGGGCAGAGGTCTCGGAATCGAGGTTGGCACTAGCCCCGCTGTCACCACTCTCCGCGCTGGCGCTCGCACTTCCTGTCAGACTTCTATGCTTGGGAGTGCCCTTGGCGGGATACGGTTTGCTCACCCCAATTTGTTGTTCAACCTGCTGCGGACCTACCGCATTGCCATGCCCAGGAGGATGGCGAGGGACTGGCGCTCGCATGTGTCCCGGAGGCGACGGGTGGCCGCCGTTCGGAGGCCCATGAGGTGGGCCAAAGTTCTGGTCTTGGGCAGTCGCTGGGCGGCCCATTCGCGGACCAGGAGGACCACCGAAAGGAGCGGCAGGAGAATGGCTATTCCTCCTGCTTTGCGGGTACGGATGAGGAGGGTAGTCACCCATTCGGCTGGTAGTCATCGAGTTGGTCCGGGAACCAGCAGCCATTTGGTTTCGGTCAACAGACCCGTACCGGTTCGACGAGTAAGCCATCATAGGGTTGTCTAGGAGAGAGTCATGGAGGCCAGGAATTTCCTGCATGATACGGTCACTGGCGCGCTTCCTGTTTCCTCCAAAGTAGCGGCTGAACGTCCCTGTTCTACCACCTCCGCCGCCACCACCCGGGCCAGTGCTCGAAAGGAGCTCGGGGTTCTTGCGGATCTGACTAGCACTGGGAATTTTCTTTGTCCTCTTTGACGTGATACTAAGCATATCAACGTTGTCGGGGTCGATCTGGGGGACCAAGCTAGTATCCATGGGATCGAAGTAATCATCCTCGTCCTCCTCATCGAAAGAAGCCGCCTTGGAAGGCGGAGGTCTGCGGGGACCACGACGCATATGCATCTCTTGCTCTCGAAGCTGCAACTCCCGCTGGCGAATGGCCAGCTCGCGTTCTCTCAAAGCCAGTCCAGATGGTCCGGGGCCTGGCGGAACGTCCGGATAACCATTAGCACCATTTGCAGGCATACCCTGATCACCTGCATCATCATAAACGACTAGATGACTGAATTCCTCAAGGCCTTCCAGAGACGGTTCACGAGGCATCCTAGGCCCGCCAGCCGGGGGCTGAGCGCTTGGTGGTCGCGACATTCCAGGCATCGGAGGTCCACGTCTCGGTGGGGGCATCATCATGGCGGAACTCGACCGTCCGGGAGGCGGGCGCATAGGACCATTTCTGGGGGGAGGAACCGAAGACACCCGGGGCGGAGGCTGAGCCAGGGCCGGAGGGGGAGAGTCACGAGGTTTGCTCAGATTAGTGGCATTGATATGGTGCAGCATTGCATAAAGGGTCTCGACGCGTGGGAGTTTGACATTGGACTCCGTTGCCAATTTGATGGGAGAACCGAGATACGTCTCAATCTCCATGGGACGCCGAGCCTGGAAATCCTGGTACATAGTGTTTGGTGTCTGGATGGTCGTCATTTTCTCCATGGTCTTTTGGTTAAAGTCGCTGGGAAAAGAGCAACCGTGTGCTTTCGCCAAATCGAGGAGTTCGTCGATCACGTCCGATATCAGCTGACGCACGCCGACTTTTTCTAATAATTGCTGTACATTTCCAGAATCAAACATAACGCTGGCGGGGTAGAAGGCGAAAGGACTAGAAATGCTGTAGTTAGCAAAAACTCGATATCCTCGTAAGCATACAGGAGGATAATTCACCCTATAATACGTTCAAACTGTTCTTGTCTGATATTCTTCGATACTTTGCAATCCACCTGGCCCGAACTCAGAGTCATCGCTAGCGCCGCAGCCATGTCGGTCTGGATGGAAGAGGGAACATTGGAGTTCTGATTCGTGGCACCGACCCATATTTCCGATGAGTTCAGGTGCTCAAACTCGCTGGCTCCGATCTGAGTGATTTCGACGCCCGATACAAGCGAAAGAACGACGTTTGTGGGGAACCGTTGTTCCAAATGCGATTCGACACCGAGGGTGTTGGTTGTGTTGACCAAGATGCAGGTGTGCTGAGGGGTCACAACAGACTCTATTACCGCGGCCAGGTCATAGACATCGGGCAGAGCCTTGACGCAGAGGATTACATAGTCGTATGCGTTCTCTCGTGATGCTGCTTCTTCGGGTGTCCGAACAACTATCGTATGATTCTAATCAGCACACGAGCGACGGATGTGTGACAAAGGGACAGAACTCACCATGGCGTGGCTTAAACCGTTCATTTCCAAACGCTTTCGACCTAATCATTCTCCGTCAGAACCTTGCCATGTTATGAGAATGAGCGACCAGCCATACTTGAAAGACACGCCGTATTGAGAAACTGCCTCGTAGCCCGATTTCCAGACCAGTGTCACGTCGCAGGAGGTTGTCGCCTGGAGCCTCCAGGAAAGGAACGCCGAGATGGCATTGCTGCCCACTAAACAGACCCGCGTTAGCAGACGACCCATGATGATGTTTGAATTCAACGTAGTCTAGGAGTCTCTTGGATGGCAGCGACCGAGTGGACCAGCTAATCATCCAAGAAAAAGGGTTGTCGGGAAATGACGATAGATGGTGTGGTTTTCTGGGCAGCGGCTGAGCACTAACCTGACAGAATGCGCAAGCGCGGCGGAGGAGCCATGATAGTCGATCAAAATGGGAAAGAAGCGATCGGATCAGCCAGTACGCGGTGGTTGTGGAAAAAAGCAATGGACCGTTAGACTGGAATTAGGTATCTCCTGAACCACAACTAGAGGCGCGATTGACGCTGCCTAACCACGGAACGAAAGGACGCAATCCGACGACGACTGAAGCCAGGGTTGATGTCGAGATCGATCTAATAAAGGACACACGCGAAAGGCGCCAAGGACGACGATAACGAAAGTAAGGGGAATCACAAAAGGAAGACTTGACAATAGAAAGGGAGATTCAAATAAAGACAAACGAAAGGAGGTATGGTTCAACCGTAGGAAGGGAGTGGAAAGTAAGTAAGAGAGAGAGAGGCGAGGGAGGGAGGGAGGAGGAGGGGGGGGGGGGGAAGGTGAAAGGGGAAGAGGAGGAGTAGCAAGTCAGTAGGGAAGAGAGAGAGAGCGAAGGTAGCGAAAGAGAGAGAGAGAGAGAGAGAGAGAGAGAGAGAGAGAGAGAGAGAGAGAGGGAGGATAGGATGGGATGGCAGATGGCGGATGGCGGATGGTTGGAGTAAGAAGCAAGATGGAAGACGGTCAGCTTTGGGGGGAAAGGCAGCCCGAATGGGTGAGTTATGGAGCCGTGCGTATCTTTTTCTGTAATTTTTTTTTTTTTAGCTTTCACGGTTTATCTTAATTTTTCTTTTTTTCTCTTTTTTTAATTTTCTATTTTTCTCTGTTGGTTTTCCAAAGTCTCTAACGGCCGTGGATCCCCCGCCAGGGCTCGATCCGGAAACGGAGGCAGGAAAAGAGGCGGACTGAGCGACAACTGTCAACGGAGAGGGGAACCCGGATTTTGCATGCGAAAGCAGAAAGTCTGACTGATGGTCCGAAAGGAATGTCCCAAGAATATCGAGCTCCTCCAAAACGGGATGCCAATAGGAAGATGAGGGAGGGAAAAGAGTGTGAGAGGGAAAGATTGCGCGACCCAAAAAAGCCCCAATAATCTCGATGGTCTTAATCGGCCACCGGGGGGAAGGGGTACTAATTGTAGACTAACTAATTAACGATCGGAAAGAAGAAGACCGTGTGCAATGGGATATGACTAGGATAGGTAGGATTATTATTAGTTTGACTCGGAATTATGTATGGAATTTTGATTATTAGAAGAGTGTACTATTATAATAAGATGATTGTCCCCCCTCATCAAGCCAGCCATCGGCTAGATCATGTGTACCAGACAAATTGATAGCAATAGTAACGATAATAATAATAACAACAACCACAACAACAAAAATAAAACCACTACAGCTACTAGCGATAATGAATTGAAAGAATAAATAATGAATCGGGAGAGGGGATGGGGAGGAAAAATCACAGTCCATTTTCGCTAGGTACCTACGACTGCACCTACATTAGTTGGAAACTCCTTGTACCTGGGTTAATTTGTACACTGGGTCTAAGCCGTTCCGAGTATCGTCCACGCTTACCAGGAGATGCTACCGCGCCAGGTTGAAACCGGTTTTTCTTGTTGGTCACTCTTCCCTTCCCAGCTTATTCCACAGTAATAACCCATGATAATGATCATCTCAATTTTCATCAATGCTGGAGAAGGAACAATATTGATTAATCTCGTCTATATCTATTCATTTAATAGACTACCGACTTACTTACGTATCTGAAGAAAATCCAGCAAGATGTTTGGCATCCCCTATCTGACATTATCCCTATTAGGAGGGACTCACAATTTGACGTCTCTAATATAGAGCGACAAAAGATGCAGCAGCAGCAACCCCCTGAAAAAAAACAAGCCCATAGATAGCAAGAGTCCACTCACTCGCCGATAACAGACACAATTGCATTGGCTTGGAATAGTGTCTCCCACACACACTACCACCACTGCCACTGCCACTGCCACTACCAAGCACTACTCTAAACCTAGTCTATGTCTAACCGGCACATAACTTACAAGCAGACACACACAGACCAGAAAAGAATAGATCATGACCACGACGATGATGACGACGAAAGAACAATAGACCACCAAATGACCGAACTGAAAAGATCCTGATTATGTGGATGGGAGTGATGAGACACGACAGCACCAACCCACTTGGTTCTGGTCGAGCCAACCCATGATGCAGCCAAGACCCAATCGGCCACCGCTGCACATCCTCCCGTCACCAAAACCCACCCGAAAACCCACTTCGTCTAGTGGTCGAGGTCAGGCCGGGATTCGCCCGCTGCAATCGGCCTCGGACAGATTGGTCAGTTTCTGCCCTCAAGATGCTGCTGCAACCGATATGGAGCTGGGAGCGCACACCACCGTACGAATCAGCGGGTACCTTCCGGCAGCCTGGTCGCAGACCTTCTATTCTCCTCCTCTCCTCTCCTCTCCTCTCTTCTTCTCCTCTTTCCCTCCTTTAGTTAGTCTCCATCTTACTATGGGGACTTACTTTCAAGTCTCAGCTCCAGCACTAAGCTGGTTCGAGTAAATAGCTAGAAACAAGGTCAAACAGGGGAAAAGATCAAGTCAATTGTCTATTCCATTTGAGTTGTCTGAAAGAATTTTCCATCATGTTCGAAAAGTTCTTGGGGATCCGCCATGTCTTTCCCTATCCCCCCCCAATAGTAAGAAGAACCTGAATAGATTGCTACCACTACTTGGAACAGATCTGGTGATCATTGGCAAATCAACCAGCCGCAGAGATAAAAATACCGAGTATGTATGCAAGTCTGTATGTCAGTTAACTACTTGTGTGCTGTAATTACTAAGCGACTCCCTAACCGTATGACCATGACCAGCCAATACTCAAGCTTGATCTCAACAAGCAGCGATACCCTTCTCCAGGAACCCCAGAATAATAACCAAGCCAAGATTTGTTACTCCTCCTTTTATTTTATAACCAATCCCTCCTCGAAAACCAGATCACCTACTGTATTTTCTTTTTCCTCTCAATAATCTATAGATTGATACTACAGGCTACCTCCCCTCCCAACCACCCCCAACTCAGCAATCCAGCCATCGATCACTTACTTCACTGTAAGTACGGAGTACTGTAAGTGACATGCAATCGATGCATAATGCGTCCCCTTCTCTCGCATTAGTTAGTTAGTCTACAGTAGTAAAGTAGTGTCCCCCCCCCGTCTCAGTCAGTCAGTCAGTCAAGTCACCTGGGGGAAAATATTCCGCCTTGGGAAGAACAAACAACAAATTCGGGAAGGGATGGGGGCAGTGTTGACTGTCCAACCCGACATGCCACACCTTTTATGCGAAGTAGGGATCGACAACCTAACCCCTCTCCCATACCAGTCGTACCTGTTTGCGGAGATGTCATGAATGCATGAAATGAAATTGAAAATGAAATTGAATCAACGTATGGCTGGCTGGCTGCCTTGTATTTGCTTACAGTAAGTAACTATTGACTAACAAAACGATTACTTAGTTAAAACAACCTTAGAATTAGAATTTATTAATTAAGTATGCTGCTTACGGGGGGTATACTATACAATACTTATAATCCTAAACTTAGTATGTGTAGTTCTCTCCGCTTGCTGCATGTGTGTTTGAACTCAGTTGTTTGAGGTGAACACCTCGCCACACACACACTGATGTCAGTCGATAATTTGGTCTGGAGAAACGAAAGGTACGTTACTAGTACTGAGAGCGAGCCAGCGGCTTAGCTTCGGCTTACTAATAAAGTTCCAGATATGCTTATGTGAGTTCCAGAATATCCCGGCTTGGTTGGGGGGTTCCAGATTATCCCAGGACTTACTAAGTTACGGAGTACTAGTCTATTATGTGTAATCTCCTGAGAGAAAACCTGAAACCTTCGACTCCGTTCCCCTGGTGTGGCTTGTTAGATGTTTGATATTAATTGGATGTTGAGAGGATCAAATATTGATATAAGTAAATAATTTTATAGACAATCATAATGGCAATGTGATGAGGCTGAGGAATTCCTCACACATCAAATTAGATACACCTTATGAATGAGTGGTTATTGAGGGTGGATAAGGAGTGTGTATACATTTTTCTTCTTTTTTTTTCTTTTTTTTCTTTCGATGTGGATATGGGTGTGGATTCTCTTACCCCAACATGAGACACATAAAATACTAATTAATAGCTAGCTAGATTGAAATTCGCTATGGATCAGTAGTACCTGGTATTAGAGTTGATAATGTTTGGTTAATCTGATGGAGTTGAAGGGAAGAGATGGAGAAAGACATGGGCAGCTGATTTGGATCTCATGATGAGCCTAGGATGTAGGCTACTGACTGACTGTATTCCTTGCTAAGACTGTGAAAATCCCTCCGGTCCAGGCCTTCTAGGGGTGATGCACCGGATTGTCCAAAACAGTGCCGGTGGAGCAGCACACCAGCCAGTCTAGCCGGCATCTAGCTTCTGCTAGCTGGGGCACTTGGGACACACCTAGGACGAATCACATTGTTCAATTATTAGCTGCTGTTACTATCTATGGTACCGTCTAGTGGGTCGGGTACTTATCAAATCTTACCGAAACAGGGCAATTTTTCCTTTTTCTTTCTTTTCTGTCTTCCCCTGGAATCGTCGATGAATGGTGGTCGCATCAGTTTAACTTTCGGTTTCTGCTCGCGCGGGTAAAGAGAAATCCTCCTGGCGTGAGGGTTTTGAATAGAATTCTCAGTCATCCTTCCAGTAGTACTACTGGATCTGATTGCTTTGCTTCAGAACTTTGATTGTTCACGGTTGAGACATTACATTTCCTTCAGTCTGCTAAGCTTAGAGTTTTGGCAGATGATGATTGGTATGCATTCAGCAGGAGGCATCGACTCATTAGGAATTTGATCTTCGGGGGCCTAGATCTGCCCGTTGCTGGACCATGCGTGCAATCCGCCAACCAGCAACCTTCTTGTCGCGATTTCTGCAGGATCTTGAGTATGTTCGACTCAGACTTCGTAGTAGTACATACCACAACTGCCCGTCCAGATCGATCAGAAATATGGCGGTTGCGCGGGTGCTCACCCACTGAACCCGCTGGCTGCAAGCATCTTACTATCCCAGCAGATTCGATTTAGTAGTGTCTTACCCGCGCAGTCTTACCCCGCCATTGTCCATGTTCATTCGAGTCCCCTTGGCTGTCTGAAATATTTCGGCGTTGCCAGTAAGACAGAAAGAGGTCTTTAATTGCAACTACTGCAATATCTACTCCGTAGGACTTTCATGTGGTCCTTCTGACCCAGGACAAACCGACGAGGACTCTGTACATCATTGCGTATGTTAGCCCCAATGGATGATTTCATCCAGAGTTCGACGCACAATGCAAGATCAGAAGGGTCAAGAGGAGAAACACCTATGGGGCCTACCCGCGACAGATGTAACCATGTAAGTAGCCACAGCCCCCTCATCTTGAAAATTTGACCGGAAACAGCCACTCGGCATTCCCGAGGCTGTACGCGGGGGCAGTTTCATTCAACCTTGCATCTGTGATCTTGGCTCAGTGGCGGAGATCCAGCCAGGCGCATCGCGAACATTACTGTACTGTTCACGGTACAGTCAAGTGGGCGCCGGATGGCCCCATTATTGTGCGGAGTCATGCTAAAGCTTCCAAGGGTCTAAGATGTCCGAGTATCCAAACTGCTCAGTTCTTGTTGTAGTTTATGTAGTTTGTTATCGCCAAGAAAACGCCAGTCCGTAGCCTAGTCTACAATATATCGGAGTCGCGCACGTCTAGTCTCTGACGGTTGGTCGCCTAGCGATCTAGCACCTTTCTCTGTCGGCCCCTTAGAAATGGCCGCTATATTAGTCGTTATGCCGCTACTGCGCGCATTGCCTCTGGAGTGTAGAGGCTAAAGCAATGGTTCGTTGAGAACAAGCTAATGTAGCAAGCGGTTAGTGCGGTGGTGCGTGTTGACACGAATGGCCTGCTATTCTCCTGTTCATCTCTGGGAACTTTCTTTTTGCGGCGATCGGCTCTGGTGTGTCACGTTCCCTGCGGGTTTGAACACGAGCAACATGGGAAACATGTGCGAGGTAACATCAAACATCTAGCGTTTTTGAACCCACCAGTCTCAAGAACTGCCGTGTCAGAATTGGTCACCCCAGATTTGATTCGATGAGAGCCTGTTCATCCAGGGAACAAAGGCATACCCAATTTTGTGGATGTCCCCAAGTAAAAAGCATTGATAAAAATCCTACTTGTCATCCGAATCCTTCGTGCATAAGGAGTAATATAGGCGAAGGCAATCGTAAGATAGCAATAGTACTTTGTAGCCTGATAGGCAGTGCCCACTACCTGAAGTCTAGTCAATTAGTGCGAGCATATACTTTGTAAACGTCATGGTCATGTCAATCTCCGTCGAGGCCCCGCAAGACATAAAAGCTGTGATGATCGTCGGTCTCTGCACGATGCTCACCCACTCGATGAGCAGCAGGATTTTCGACATGCTAAGCAAGGTTGACGTGCTGCTTAGCAAGCACAGTACGGAGACACATAATAGCAACTTTCTGGGTAGTGTAGGTCCATTTCGGCCCACCCAACGGAGTACGTGGTATATCTCCGTAAGTCCGAACTAGCTTCACATTCGGACATCGAGAGCGGGCAGGACGTCAATCAGACCCATGGCGAGGCAAGCGACCAGGTATATTTGGGAGGAGGGGAGGGGGGGCAACGAAGGCGTCCACAACCTGCATCCATCGATTCCGTATCAAGAAGAAAGCAAATAAAAGCAATCAATTCGAGGAAGGTCTAAGAGACAAATAATATGCGGAAGCCGGGATGGCAAGAAAAGCGCAAAGTGGAGCCTCGATGCAAACAGCGGCTGCCCACTGACTCAGCGGATGTACGTGAAAGGCAAACCGATGCCTGCATTTCCGGGCCTCCTTCGGCCGCCCATACGAGGATTTTCGGCGCTGCAGGACATCCCAAGGTCTAACTTATCAATAACTCAATCGGCAGGTGCGAAACTATGCATGCCGTACCTACATAGTACATGCAGACACGAGGAGCTAGAAAAAAGGCGACCGGAGAATAAAAAAAGCAAAGATGAGCGAGTGTAGATGGAAATCTCTCAAATCTCAATCCCCGTGAGGAACGGCGCGTTATCTATCCACTAACTTCAAGTCAGCAAGGGCCCCTAAATTCTAACTAACTAGCAGTAGGCTCCTTTAGCTAGTTAGTAGAGTTAATCCGAGCTGGTCAGCTCTCAAAATTAGGCTGCATTGATAGTAAAATAGTCAGTCCGTTGGTTCTGTTGCCTACTGCATGATCTGCATAAACATGCGAGACGTCAATGAAAGGATGGAGATAGGCCAGAGATCGAAGATAACCCTCTAATTTAGCGCGAAAAGGGTCGTCCTTCTTGATCAATCCCCTTTGGCGACATGGCAGTAGCTATCTAAGCTGACCCAAAAGCAATGCTTCGTGGAGATACGTATAGTAGATGCCATGAGCACAAAGCATTGGCACATGATGCATAGCATTAGATGACTAATATTATGTGTGCACGCTATGGAGGGGAATTCGACATCAAAAAGTATACCACTGAGGGGCATCTGTTGGTGTCTGAAATTGCATGTACTAGAGGCACTTCACGCATCAGCACCTATACAAGAGCACTTCACAGTAAAATAAATCAAGGTCTCTGCCATTTCCCCCGCAATGAATTTACTGACTAATCGGAGACCAATGGCAGAATTCTTCAAGATGAATATCGTTCTCTTGTAAAGAAGACACACTCCTACTAGAGTGGAGATAGAGCCAGTCATCTGCATCTGTGACAAGGAGCAGTATTCCCGACACAACCAGTCACACCATTCATAGCCATATATACCCCTCAACTCCAAGACAATGACTGGAAACAAAAGAAAGAATCCGCGAGACTTGACCTGTCTCTCCGGCAAACCACTTGCTGAGACTCTCGAGCCCTCTTCAGTACTGGCAAGCAGCACCGAAGAATGGGTCACATCCCAAGACCTGGCTGAGTATGGCCTCCCATTCAAGCCAGAGGTTATCCAAGATATGACCCTCTTTCTCCTGGCCAACCCCAACATGAGCTCTACACATCTATACCGGGCAGACATCCTCTTCGACAGCTGGGGTTCACTGCGGACACCGCAGCAGAAAGAGCAGTCCTTCGCTCAGAATGGGAACAGCAATATAGAGACCACCGAAGAGCACGTGGAACCCACGCCCGCAAGAGAAATCCCCAACTTCACTCTCATCAGAACGGTAGTGAGGAGACTCATCCCCAGAAACCCGAACCTAGACAGAGTCATGGACCAAACATGTCACTTCTACGAACACATCAACGAGTCCACAGACACCAACGAGGGATCCATCAACCGTTACCTCGCTGTCTACACCCCCCACATCACCTCAAAAGAAGACATGCCCTTCTACCACCCTCTCCTCCGTTCCCTAGCCTTCCTATACGACTACAACACCAATACATCAGACCCCTCCCCCAACCCCGGCACCATGTCCATCCACTTCCTCCTCTTCCCCAATGAACCCATCCAAAACCGCCTAGAACGCACCCTACAAGCCCTCCTGACCGTCCAAATCCGCCTCGCCCGCGGCACCCGTCTAACCGACAAACCAGACAACGGCGGCGGCGGCAGCCAAAACCCAGCCAAAGACAACGTGATCCCGCAGCACCTGGTGCAAAACACCTACACACGGCTGAAAGCAAAATACGCCGCCGAGCTCTGCCAAAAGTGGGTCGAGAGCACCGAACCCTCCAAGCACGTCTTCGAGGACCTCTCAATCACCGCATTCCTCATCGAACTCTGGAGAAGCATGTACGGCGCTGTCCCAGCAGACGAGCAGACCTCCACCAACTCCCCATCTACCTTCCCCGGCTTCGTCGACGTAGCCTGCGGCAACGGCGTCCTCGTGTACGTCCTCCTCATGGAAGGCTACAAAGGCTTTGGCTTCGACGCCCGCCGACGCAAAACATGGAGTATATTTCCAGAGTCCGTGCAATCACGACTCACAGAGGAAATCTACATCCCCAAACCATTCTCCGAAACGAACCCCTCTCTGTTCCAAGAGCTAACGATAAAATCCCACACGGGGTCCTTCCCGAAAGACACATTCATTATCTCCAACCACGCAGATGAACTCACCGTCTGGACGCCCCTCATGGCTACGCTTCTTTGCCCTGAGTCGCCGTCCCCTTTTATTGCTATCCCGTGCTGCTCGCATTCACTTTCTGGTGCGAGGTTCCGGTATCCGCCTCCTAAGGCGGGCAAGAAGGATAAATCAGACGATAAAAATAAAGGAGGGGGAGAAGAGGGTAATCCAGCATCAGGAGACCTCAAATCCCTCCGGAAGGAGAAACAGGATGCTCAGACTACGGAAGCAGGGTTCCTCAAGTCCATGTATGGCTCGTTGACTGCGAAGACGATGAGTGTGGCGGAGGAAATCGGGTACGAGGTTGAGCGGACCCTGTTGCGCATTCCGAGTACGAGGAATATGGCTGTTATTGGGGGCAGGAGGCGGACGACGCAGGTGTGGAAGGAGAGGGCGAGTGGGTCTGCTGCTGCTGATGGTGGTGATGGTGATGGTGATGGTGATGGTGATGGTGATGGAGAGGAGGTCCTGGAGCGGGTTATGGATGCTGTACGGAGGGAGTGTTCGCGTGAGGGGGGCGTTGAGGCTGCTGGGAAGATCTGGATTGAGAGGGCGAAGGGGTTGAATAAGGGGTCTGGGATGGGGAAGCAGGGTGGGCATTGAACATGCTTGTTGTGCTGTGGAAATTATAGTGGATGTTTGGAGATGAGATACCCCGTAAACGGTTACTTGGAAAAAGCACATTAAAATGAGATTTTGTGTATGTACATGGAAGAGAAAGGACATGATGATGTTGATTGTTGTTAATGTACATATGTATGTAACATTGTCGGTGTCTGGCTCGACATCTATCGTCTAGAGACACATTACAGAGCACATTTAGCTCCCATGAAATGAAGAAACCCATGAGTGAGTTGAGTGTGGTATGTATACCAAGCTAGATACAGACCTTCCCATGAAATGAAGGACAGTACTAGCTGAAGGAAAAAGTCCCAAAAATAAGACAATATCAAAATTCGATCCGCAAGCCAAACTCCTGCCATGCGATTCTATAAACTCTAGCGGATGAAAGTTCGTGCTCAATTTCCAGGAGAATCCTGCCTGAGCCATAGAACCACTGCATGGATGATGGTCAGGACAGGACTGGACGGAGTAGAGCAGAGTGTGCGTCAATTGTGACAGTGGCCGCGCTCTGTGAGCTCCCACTGTTTGTTCGGTGCATAAAGATGTGATTTAAGAACTTTCTGACTGCTTGGTAGCGTCCCCAGACGACGTTGGGGGCACATTAGCAGCCTTCAGGGTTGCAGATCGGGCTGCAGCTGCAGCGGCATTGTCTTTAATACGCTTGATCCTCTCCACGCGCCCTTCACCGGGAAGACTACCCCAGACAGGCTCGACGGTATCCGCGCGCCAATTTGGCCGGTGGCTGGCGAGCGCACCACCTCTTGTAGGCAAAGAGACCATGGATGCGCCGCCGACGCCGGATTCGCCCCACATGCGGACACGCTGAAGCTTGCGCAGTTTGGCGAGCCCATAAGCACAAACAACGATTGTAATGGCAAAGCATGTGACGGACACGGCGCCAAAGCCCAAGTCTGATTCTTCGATGAAGTTCTTCAAGTTCATGCCGTAAAGTGCGGAGAACAGGGTTCCGGTTGCGAGTCCGAGAGTTCCAATGCTGAATTTGAGGTCGAGAAGCATGAGGGAGTTGCGATTGGCGTCCAGGATTGCTTTAACGCTGTGATTAGGTCAGTATCCAGTTACAGAGCAATCACCTGAGACACTAAGGATGACTTACACTTCCTCGGTATTGCGAATTCCGGTCACCAAGTTGCCGCTGGCCTGCACAATTTCGTCGCAAACCTTGTGGTACGACTCCAGTAGCATCTCGACTTCTTGATGTTCGTGTTCCTCGCGTCGGACACCCTGCGAGTTCTCAGTAAGATACATTGCGGCCAAGTCGTCGTCTGCCTCCAGCAGGTCGTCGATGGCATCACGCACGAGGCGAGCCTTTTGTTCGAACGTGCCGAGCTTCTTGGAGTAAATAAGCAGATGTCGGAGCTTGTCGCGGTCGATGTCCTCTTCCAGAGCTCTGAGCACGCTCACGACCGGATCTCTAACACCATTGAATTCCTCCTCCAGACCACTTGTGACACTGATCAAGACCGCTTCCAGCGCTCGGAATTCGTAAGGCAATGCACCCGTAGTCTGTCCTTGTTTCTGTTGTAGCTTTCCTTCGAGATCATACACAAATAGCGATTGCATGTATGAGTCCGTGGATCCGTACGCATCGAAAACGAGAACGCGATCAGCCTTGATCAAGACTCGAAGGTGTAGGAGGTTGATAAGAATGGCACGCGGTCGCACTAGGATATGAGGCAGTGTAGACGAGTCAATTTTTCGCAAGTCCCGAGGTAGGAGACCATACTATTCTTGATATCAGTCTTGTGTCGCTTCTTGAGTTATGAAACAATTCGCAGAGCCGCTAATACTGACCTTGGCAATCAGCTCACTCTTCTTAAATTCGCCATTCACAAGAGTAACATTTCCAGTGCTGTCGAACTCGGTACATCGAAGGCGCGGCTCATTAGATGCCTTTGCCACTAATCCGCGGCCAATATTGAAGCTTCCCTCTGTTCCGTCATTGATCAATGCAGGTGGCTGGCGGAGATATGATTTGGATTCGGCAGCTTTGTTTCGCTTGAAGTCGAAGAGCCTACGCCACAAGCTCTTGCTCTTGGTGGACGAAGCGCGTGAAAACTGCGCATTAGGGAGAGAAAACGGACTCGGTGAAGAGCGTTGAGCCAGCGACGCCCGACATCGTACAGTACCGCGAGTTCTAGACGAAAGGCCCGGTAACGGAAAGAGGCATGATTCTAGGCTCGCACGGCATGGTGCAGGGTTTATATTTGTCCAGTCCGACGTCCTGCTTAGCGAGAAGGCGTGATGCTGATGATGAGACTGGGGATCATTATTGAGAGATCGTCCGCAAGTAGTTGGGTTGGCTGTGAAGAAAAAGGAATCGGATTGTGATCGCAGAAACCGAAGAAGAGATGCTGATGGAGCGGAAGGCTTCATAGACGACGGAGACAGCATCTCTTGCCTTGTACTATGGCTTCACCGACCAGATTGACGACCAGCACTCATCTGGATGCAAAACAAACCATATCATCGACCATCTTTTTTCCCGCATCCAAGTTGCGCCGCTCGGACCAACGATAATCCGGCAGCGCTGAATGGTCCGGACTCAACAGTATATTCCCTCGCTTTTCCCATGATTGTTTGATCACTTTATCTTGGGAAAGTGTATGGTGGATATTATGGCTGACTCTTAGTATACCACTTTGCTAGCAATACATTACTGCGGTACGCACAGTTTTGATGTCCATCGGATAATCTTGGTCTACAGTATGGTGAAACCGTATACGTCCTTACGAGGATGATCGGCAGAGCTCATACCAGAAATGACAAAGCTCTTCATGAAATACTCTCAGAAAAGGTTGCGTTTTTCTAGTTGCAAATATCAATCACTGGTTAAAGACCCTTTTCTTTGCGGGTCTCATTCGAGTGATTTTACACAGGGCATAACTACTGAACACGAACTTACTCTTTCTTCGTCACATTTCACAGCCAGTCTCGCTACTAACATAAAATCTTCCCCTCGTTGACTAAATCATATAATCCCTGTTCCACTTGCTATAAGATACACGACGGCGGTAGACTACATGCCGAGTCTACAAAGTGAGTCTCCATTTCGACAATTGTCACATGAAGCTTACCTAATTGAGCTTGGTTGTTTTCTAGAAGGCCCCACTTTGGCACCAGATCGGAAATGCCAAAAGCCCGAACCATTGGTACTTTCTTTGAGCCGCAGGGATGCCCCACCAGGCATTGCATTAGCAAGGTACTAGACCAAGTGGTCAAGTCTAGAGCCATGAGAATGAGTGTAGTCAATACCAGGATGTTGATCGCCTCTTGTTATTTACTGTCGGTATGGTGGACTACGCTGGGAAATGTTCATATCAGTGAGAACACTCATCTTGTAATAATGACCTACTAGCGTCTGAAGTCCAAGTACTCAAATTACACAAGCATTGTGTTTCCATTCATGAGACTAAGGAATTGGATCCGCTGTCAGACAGCTCCAATCTCCGGTGCATACTTTTGATCACCTGCAGGAAATGCTGACTAGAAAGAAAAACCAGACATTCACCTCCACGCACCGGATGGGAATATATGCTAAGAACAGGAAAGGATATAGAGGCTGCACGACGGAGGTATCACACAAAATCCAACGAGTCTAAGCCACGGCAACAACATTGATTTTAGGAAAAATGAGAGAGTACCTTCAAGCAAGGCTCACCAATCGTCATCGTCCTCCTTCTCGTCATCTATCGTCCACATTAGTACGCGTATTACTGACCATTCGGGGGTGTCTACTTACCGCTACCGCTGACCTTCTGCTTTCTCTTCGCCAGAGCGTCTTGCAAAGCACCTGCCAGGCCTCCTTGAGCAGCACCACCACTTGGGGTGGGCGCGGACGATTCGCTGGCTGAGCCAGGCACGGCGGCTCCACTCCGGTCACGCTTCTCGGTATCCTTGACCTTCCGCAGGCCACCGCCGCCCTTTCCTCCGGATGCCCGGATAGCAGCCATGAGGTCATTCCTACCACCTTCGGGTTTGGGTAAGGGCGGAGCAGCTCCACCTGGAGGAGGCGGCGGCGGAGGCGCACCGGCTCCAGGAGGCGGGGGCGGCGGAGGAGGAGCACCAGCTCCTGGCGGTGGAGGAGGTGGTGGTGGTGGGATTGAACTCCCTGGTGCTGGCGGAGGCGGAGGGGGTGGAGGAGGTGGGACCGAGCTGGTAGGTGGCGGTGGGGGCGGAGGCGGCGCAGGAGGTCCGGCGCTAGGCGAAGGATGCGATGGCGGGGGTGGATGCGGGGGAGGAGCACTTGAAACGGGCGGAGGGCGAGGCGGAGGGGGGACACTCGACGTAGGAGGCGGGGGTGGAGGAGGAGGCACGCTTGATGTAGGCGGGGGAGGAATAGGCCGGGAAGCGGAAGGCACAGGTGGGGGCGGCGGCTGCAAAGGACTTCTGGGTGGCGGAGGTGGAGGCCCTGCTGCAGAGGCATTGGGAACTTTGGGAGGTAGCTGTGGAGGTGCTGCAGGGCTCATAGTGCGTGGAGGAGGAGGGGGTGGCCCTGAAGGCCCTGGCCGACTGGGAGGTGCGGGAGGGGCAGACACCTTGCGCTCGCCCTGGAACGGCGGGGGAACGCCAAAGCGGGACTGGTTCTCGTCCATTGGAGTCTTTGGAGGCCGTGGAGGAGGTGGAGGACCGGGTGTAGCATTCGACGAGGCCCGTTGGCGAGTAGGCGGCAATGGTGTGTGAGCAAATTTACCAGCATCTGCAATCGGAGGCGGCGCACGAAACCGATTCCTGGGAGGAGACGGTTCACGTTTCGAGGCAGGCTCGTCATCCGTCATATCCATTCGAGTCCTCCGCGTCGGGGGAGGGGGCGGCGGAGCACCTCGTCGACTCCCTGTGCTGTTGCCAGTGTTCTGTGGGCTGATGGCAGCCACCTTCGGAGCAGGCGGCGCAGACGGGGGAGGTGGAGGCGGCGCCTTGCCTTTCCTTTGATCATCGGCAGAAGGCGGGCTGGGCGTTGATGCTTGTTTCTGTTCGATATAAGACTTGATAAAATCGAAGTTTTCCGCGATCATGTCTTCGTTAATGCCCATTTGTACGAGCTCGTCCAGTACGCCCTTGAATGCGGGGTCATTGGTGTCGAACGGCAGTTCCTTGCGTGATAGGCTGGCTGAAGGGGGAGGCGGAGGAGCTACTTGGATCGATGGGGCAGGAGGCAGTTCCGCAGGTGTCACCGGCGGGGGTACATGAGATCCTGATGACGAGCGATGGCCGAGTAAGCTGCCAAACAGCGACCGTCCAACCCCGGATTTGCCGTTGACCACCGGAGCAGGGCCCTGGCCTCGGGTAGATGCAAAGGGCGTCTGCCGTGTCTCTTTGCTCGCATGCTTTTCTCGCTCCTGTACTTTCTTGATGAATGTCTTGGCCTCTTTCTCGTCGGCGAACGACAGTCCGGCGGGACAGTCTTCTAGTTCGAAGGAGTGGAAGAACGTGCGATCTTGGTTGTACGCGAAGTTGTCGTAGATCTCTTGGTCCCAAATGACTCCCCTGTTGGCAGGCTAAGGCACAGCACGATGTCTTTTGTCAGTAACTGTCACAATGCATGATTTACCAGGCTGTGCTCACCGATATGTCCACCAATTTCAGCCAAAAAGTACGGCCGACCAGGTCATTTGCTAGGACTGCAGCTCCCTGCAGACCAGTGTACGTCCATCTCTGGGTGTCTGGGTGAGCCACGTAGAGGCGCGCAACGGCCACCGCTAGAATTTTGTTGTCAGGCTTTGGTACAGTTCTCCTGACTGTTTCCTTGTCGTTATCGTTCAGGATTGAAGGCATAACGATGGATGAACACGCGAAGACACAGTGTGAGTAGCTTGGGGATTATGACCGATGAGGTAGAAGTAATTAGATCGCCTGCTGGAGGCGCATTGCAGGGTGTCTGGTGTAACTTGGTGAGCCCGAAGTACCAGAGGGTGGTTGCTCCTCAGGCACGGATAAGAGCTGATACGGCGCGGCAACAACGGATGTGTCTGAGACAAAAGGGGGGTAGTTCGGAATTCCCAGGATTTGTGGGGTAGATGGGTGACTGAAGGGCAGCCCTAGGGACGCGAAAGAAAGGAACGAATACTAGTTAGGCTCTATCTAGAACAGAAAGGCCGTTAGAGTGTAGGATTGGTGGCCGAGCAAGTCTGGCTTTGGGGGGGGGAAAGGGGAGGAGGGAGAAGAGGTCAAGTAGCCGGAAGAGGAGCGTTGGCGGGAGAGAGCGATGGAGAGCCACTAAAGTCCACTAACGCCGCGGTGGGGATCCCGACGTCTCTGGAAGCAGCTGGCGCTCACTCAGCACTACTTACACTCTGACAGTCCCCCGAGTTATGGAATGATTGTTCAAGTGTTGGTATTATTATGAAGCACTAAGACATGCGAAATTGATTGGCTCAGGTATTGTACTTTTTAAGCAAAAAAGACTCGCAATCTTCTCCATTCCGCAATGGTCTCGTGCGGCATCATCGAAAGACCAACAAGGGTGTCTGCCTGCGACCCATATAATGACCATGATGGCATTCCTGGATTAGGCAGACATGCAAGATCCAAGGGAATCGCCTTCGACAGCATCTTATTAGTTGATCTTACCGGATCACCACCAACCATGTGAATGAAGAAATGACTGCATTGCCTCAATGGCGCGCTTCTTACTAGTACTATACTACTAGTACTATGGTGGTACTTCCAGCCCAACCGACGTCATCGCATGTGCTGCAGCTCAAATGAACTACTTAAAGGATATAGAAAGCTTACCCTTCCCGATCACTATCCTCGCTGCTATCACTCGCCTGCACCCTTCTTTCTACAGCATAAGTTCACTGTTTCTTCCTCTCGTACTCACTACCTTCGATCATTGACTAGTTACTTCTCACTATGCCTGTCATCCCCTCGGGTTCTGATTTCCCACCCCAACAAGGCAACAACCACAAAAACGCTCCAAACCAAGAGCAGAGGAACTCCGATCAGGGTACTCAGAAAACCACCATGCTTGATCACTTGTCCAAGGGTCCTCAAATCCCCGACAGTAAGTCAAGCGTTGTGCTTTTATCCCCACAACCCCTCCACATTATGGCGGCTCCCTAAATTAGTATATAGGCATGCCACCCAAAGTCCCCAGGGAAGAGATCGAGGCACGCATGAAGGAACTGAATAAGTAGGGAACAAATCTTACAATAATAGTTGGAGTGTATGGTGGCTGTACTTTTATGAAGCAATGTTAAATCGATGATGTTATGCCTGTGCTCCGGTCTTCATAACTTGTACTAGTGATCGCCCGAATATAAACGGCTAAGATTTTATACTATCATCTTGTTCCAATACACATTCTTGGAGACTTCATGATTTCAACACCACAATTACTTGCATGAATATTTGGGATGATAGAAATAAACTCCCTGTTTCCTGCACAAAGAATCGCTCTCCGTAAATTGTGCCACGCAGCAGTGGTTGCTGCTGGTGCTCCAAAAAGCGTCATTACATCATACCCCACGTGATCACGCGCTCGCTTTGGTCGCTCTCATCGCGAGGGAAGATGACTTCTTCGCGTCAAGAGGCTCCTCATGCCACCTGAACGCCCCAATGTACCGGTGAAGCTGTCCTTGCCCTTGGTGAGTACTTTACGGTTCTACATTGTGTGCTTAACGCAAGACATCTATGGGATTGCTGACAGAATCAACTCCAGCAATACCAGCAGGACATCTTCACCGAACTGCGCTCGGAGGATGAGTTGGTGATCCTTGCTCGGGGCCTTGGCCTCTTACGCCTGGTGACGAATTTGCTACATTTTTTTGATGCTGCAGGGAACAACTTGGTGCTTGTTGTTGGCGCAGATGACCGCGAAAACGAATGGATTGGAGAAGGTACGTTGCTGCGACTCGGACTTACTGGTGGGTTATGTTGAAGCATAATGATGCTGATCTCTGTCAGCATTGGCTGAGCACTATGCTATCAGCAAAACCCCTCTTGCCAGGGGGCTCAAGGTGATCAATACGGACAGGGCCACGGTCCCGATGCGGTATGTCCTCATGCATGATTCATGACCTTCTAAGCTAATGCCAGTCCAGCGAGAAGATCTACTCCGAAGGTGGTATCCTGAGTGTAACATCCAGGATACTTATAGTTGACTTTCTGTCGAGTTAGTGACAACCCTACTGCTGTTTTGCGGCGGCTGACCCTCCTAACCCGCTGTCTAGAGCTGCTCGACCCTGAGAAGGTCACTGGCATGGTCGTGCTTCATGCTGAGAAGTAAGCAACCATATCGGTGCTTCTAAAGAGGACATACTAAGAACAGACAGGATTGTGGCAACGTCTATTGAAGCCTTCATTATCCGGGCATATCGAGAGCACAACAAACGTGGATTCCTAAAGGCCTTCTCCGACTCTCCAGAACCATTCACGACCGGATTTGCCCCTTTGGCAAACTCCCTGCGCAACCTCTTCCTTCGCAAAACCTCCTTGTGGCCACGCTTCCATGTCACCGTCGCGGAGGCTCTCGAGGGCCACCGAAGAGCGGAGGTGATCGAACTAGAAGTCCCCATGAGTGATAAGATGCGTGAGATACAAAACGCCGTCCTTGAGTGCGTGGAGATTTGCATAGGAGAGCTAAAGAAAGCCAACACAGGACTTGACATGGCAGACTGGACCCTCGACAGTGCTTTACACAGGTCTTTCGATATTGCAATTAGGCGCCAACTGGATCCCATATGGCACCGTGTGAGCTTCCGGACCAGACAGATCGTCAGTGACTTATCAGACCTTCGGGCAATTCTCCAGTACGACCACCCATTTTTATGCTGTGCTTCATGAGTTGACCTGAACCCTAGTGCTTTGCTCACCTATGACGCCGTCTCGTTCCTCAAATATCTTGATACGATTGTCACAGCACATACCCCGCCTCCTGGGTCCACGAAACACAGCTATTCACCATGGCTGTTCCTCGACGCAGCCGATGTGCTTTTTCAGACCGCGAGATCAAGAGTATATCAGGGGAGAATCAGCAACGATGTAGTTCGCTCATCATCCACCTCTTTACCTACCACCCTCCAGCCCGTTCTGGAAGAGCAGCCAAAATGGGAAGTCGTAGTGGAAGTCCTGCAAGAAATCGAAACGGACGCATACCTCAATCCAGTCAATGTGGATGAGTCCAACAGTACTGTCTTGATCATGTGCAGTGACCAACGGACCTGTCGGCAACTTCGCGAGTACATGGGCACGATGCATGCCAACGTGAGTAGCAAGAAGCAGGAGACAAGGGATACATCAGATCCAGGTGATGCCATCCACGAGAAGAAGGGCTCCGCTGAAGTCATGATGCGCCGAAGGCTGCGGGATTATATGGACTGGAAGTTATCCTTGTCTAATGTTAGCAAGAACTTTTCGTCAAACCCCGCGGGTGACGGTTCCCAGTCGCCTGCGGTGAATTCACCTGGTTCTCTGAACCAAGGACGAGCCCCAATGAACAAGCGGCGCCGAGTCCGAGGAGGAGGCACTCCATCCGTCCCAGCACGCGCGCCCAACAGCGGTATCCAAGTAGATATTGAACCTCCGGCCCAAGTGTCGGCACTTCTAGATGAAATTCAGCCTACTGAGGTAGAAGAGACCCAAAAAGAGGAGGTTATCGTCGATGATTTGGAAGATATGGACGATTTCTACGAATTGTACGATATGGATGACTTGGTTATCATACACCCTTACGACGGTGATATGGATGAGCATATTCTGGAAGAGGTTCGGCCTCGGTACATCATCATGTACGAGCCAGACCCTGCATTCATTCGACGAGTCGAGGTCTACCGCAGCTCCCATGTTGGGAGGGACGTACGCGTTTATTTCATCTACTACGGGGGATCTGTTGAAGAACAGCGCTACTTGAGCGCCGTACGGCGAGAGAAAGACTCGTTCACAAAGCTCATCAAAGAGAAAAGTGTAAGAGTCCTTTCCTGTCATTCCCTCCTTCCACTAATCCGAGACAACAGAACATGGCCGTCACCATCATGCATGACAAGAGTCAAGTAGACCCTCAAGAACAGTTCCTTCGCACCGTGAACACCCGCATCGCAGGAGGCGGCCGACTAGCCGCAACAGCATCACCACCCCGAGTCGTGATAGATGTACGCGAGTTCAGAAGCGCTCTTCCATCCCTCCTACATGGCAACAACATGATCGTCGTCCCCTGCCAACTCACAGTGGGCGACTACATCCTCACACCCGACATCTGCGTAGAACGCAAATCAGTCCGCGATCTGATATCCTCTTTACGGAACGGCCGTCTCTACAACCAAGCAGAAACCATGCTCCAACACTACAAGAACCCCCTTCTTCTTATCGAATTCGATGAAAACAAATCCTTCACCTTCGACGCCTTCGCCTCCGCAACCACCCCCGGCACAACCTTTCTCACCGACTTCGGTTTCTCCTCCTCCGGCACAAGCACCCTATCCGCAAACAGCTCCCTCGTCAACCCATCTAGCCCCAAATCCGCACAGCACTTACTCGTTCTCCTAACCCTCACCTTCCCCCGGCTCAAGATCATCTGGTCTTCTTCCCCCTACCAAACAGCTGAGATCTTCGCCGAGCTGAAGAAGAACAATCCCGAGCCGGATCCGATTCGGGCTGTCCAAACCGGGCTAGACATGGATATTGCGGCGTCGTCGCACTCCGGTGATATTATGGCTGCGGCAGGGATCGAGCATCGGGTCTTTAATCTCTTGCCTCAGGATATGCTCCGGGCGGTCCCGGGTGTTAATCCTAATGTCCTTGAGCGGTTGATTGTGGAGACGGAGAATATTCATGAGATTGCGAATATGAGCGTGGAGCAGTTGGATCCGTTGGTTGGGATAGAGACGGCTCGGAAGATAGTAGGGTTCTTTCGTAAAAGTGTGTTTGAGAGCTGAGGTGATGGTTGTATATATGTTCGATGTTGTTGAATACTACGAGAAGCTAGAGGTACAAAGCTACTCAATTCTACAAAGGAGTATAGGTTGGTTGTATATTCATATTCGTGACCCTTTCATAAATCTATCATCCAGTTTTGTCGAAAACGAAGAAGCGTAATGAAAAGGAATAGCGAATAAAAAACAGGGAGCAAACACAAGAATCGCTCACACGCCAGACCGTGCAGCCTTCTCGTACGCAGTAAGCCATCCTTCTGTAGCTAACCCGAGAACGCCCTCATGATGGAACACGAATATGTCCAGAAAACCGATGATCCAGCATCATAAAGAGAATTCCCCGGCATAACCCCTGTTACTGATCCATACCCCGGATTACACGGAGCCGCACCGGGCGCAGCAAAGGCAGAACGCGCCTATGCGGAGCCGGGAGGTGCTGCCGCCCTGATTCCTTTACTCGAGATACCTTCACGGGAAAATCTCGACTAGCACACACACACAGCATGCACAAGCCGTCCGATTTCTTCCCTTTCAAAGCAAGTAACAGCTTCTTTCGGAAGAATACTCGGGGGAGATTCTTCCCATGAAGGTTTTTTGAAGAAAACAAAGAGTTTTGACGAGTCGAGAAAAACAGAACCGAACCCAGTCGCTCCGGCAGGGATATGAGATCGTGCCCCTGAAAGGGACATTTAGAGCTCGTCGACATCGATCTCCTTCTCGTCTTCGCTCTCGCGGTCCTCGTCGAACTCGACGTTGTCCTCGAAGCCCTCGTGGCCGTAGGTGTCGGTCTCGTTGATCTTGGCGTGTTCGGGCAACTCGCCGTAGGCCTTGAGACTTCTGGCCTCATCGGCGGTGTACTTCATGATGACGTCGCCCTTTTCGTCTTGGTAGTCACGCAGCGAGAGAAGGATAATGTCACCCTGGTTGATCCAGACCTTCTTGCGGAGCTTGCCACGGATGTGAGCGAGACGCTTCTCGCCATCGAAGCAGAGTGCCTCGAGACGGCCGTTACCGAGCATCTTCACGACCTGCGCATACTCCTGACCTTCTTCCTTGAAGACAAGCTCACGCTTCTCGTTGTCGTTCTCGTTCTTTCCACGACGACGGTTCTTACCGCCCTGTTTGGTTAAAGATACGTTAGCAAAAACTGTCCTAGACATGTGTATAGACGTGTGGCGCAGATTCGCTTCGTTCTCCGATGCTCTCTGAATATGGCAGTCTCTACGCTTTCCATATCGCACATCTTCCTGGCTGGAAATGTGTCGTTGAGGTGGGATATGGTGGCATGAAGTGGGCACCAGAGTCAAGCGTAAAACAAAGCGAAAATCTGTAAGGCGGGGTACCCGGGTGGGATGCAACACGAACTCACCTTTCCCTTGTTCTTGGGCATATTGGGATCTCGCTAACCGCGGTGGTCTTTCACTCGATGCGATAGGAGAGGTCCGGGTAAGGGGAGATTTAAATAGATGTCCCTGAGGACCAGAAGAGTGGAAGTGGGGGGAAAGACGAGGAAGGCGGAGGCAAGCGAGAGGCCGGCGCTTCATGTTTTGCGAGGCTTTTCGTTGGCTTATGTCATCCATGGTGGGTGGGTGGCGTGGCGGCCTGATTTGCGCCTGAGGCTTGCCACAAGGGGTTCGCCAATCATTGTCGTTATGAAGCCACCGCCCGGTGGCAGAATCAGGGGACCGCCGAAGCATCCCCGAATGCTGGGATAACTTTTTGGCTCGCTAGAGAATTGAATGCGCTCATTCTTGGTTCGTATTCCACTTCTTGTGAATTGTTTATCAGTTCCGTTGCTTACAATATGTTGAGATAGATACATATCGCTCCCTGCTGGAAGAGCTGGCCTTTTTCTGTTCCGATCCGGCGATAGGCGCATTATACTACTTAGTGCTAATATACCAAGCATCCAGCTAGCGTCCTACCATCTATTCTATCATTGTTGTACTATATACGGAGTCAATTGACTTGCCTCTGAGGCCTCCAACACACATCCATCATGAAGACACTAAGGAGTCACAAATCGTTCATAATGCGATACTTTCCAAACTACAAACCGTCCCATGTCGCCTCCCGGTACTTAAACGCAGATGTCCACCCTCTCCAGCCTAAAATCACACACATGTATGCCACCCGCGACAAAAGCACACTCTGGTGGATGGTAAATCCATCGCATCTGATGTCCGTGAGGATGAAGCGTGTGGTTCGGTCGTGGTGTAGCCGACGAGCCCGGATGGCATTCCGGCTAGCGTTGAAAGACCATGGGTTTGATGCGGACGGTCGAAAAGCAGGGCAGGAACTGCTAGGTGACTCTAATGGGAAAGGGGGGAATGGAAAGAATCTGAAGGGGCGTGTTGACCTATTGCTTCATGCGGATATTTTGCGGGAGCCTTTCGAGGTATTGCGAAAGGAGATGGATGCTGGAGTGAGTGCTTTGGTAAATCATTTGAAGACGACAAAAGATGTGGCTCCTAAGCCGGCGAAAAAGCAAAAGAAGGCAGTGGATGCTCCTGATGACAAAGGGAATGAGACATCGTTATAACCTTGGCCAGCATTTCCTTCATACTAGTAGGGTGGTTCTGGACACCGGTTCGGGTCCGTCATTGTATATATGTACAACATCAGTGGATGAGCAGACGGGAAATATACTTAGCCCCCTTGCGATGTGCCACGCAAGACATGCAGCTATTTCCTGTCATTCATGCATAATATCTCAACAAAGATAGGATGAACGAGATGTGACAATGGAAATTTGTTAGATTCCCCATATCCCATTTTCACGGGATAGTTCTTTGGATGGAATGAAGAAGCATCCATGTAGTTATCGCGGGTCAGAGACCACGCGGCCGAGCCTCCTTGGCGCCTGTCGCTACCGGCCGATCTTCATTCAGCCTGAAGAAGACAACAACAACCTCGCTTTCCTCTTGCGATCAACTCTTCCTTCCCTTTCAGGATCCCAGGCCACCTACTCACGAATCGACGTTGCCAGACGTCACGAATTTGTTTTCTCTTTGATGCGCCATCCCTGATATCCGCTACCTGTTCCCAATATGCTGGTCTCCTTGACAGTCGGCAAGGTAGACGCAGGAGTCGCCGTACTCTTGACCCAGGACAACAGACTGGTGAGTTTAACTCCATACCCACGCACTTACAGCGAGCGATTGACGCACGAGTCTGCTCAATATCCCCTCCAAATAATCCACTCCGTGCTTCGAGTAGCCCTGACACTTAACTAACCCGCCCCAGATCGAGTTCCCCTCCGTCCTTCTCCCCAACAACATCACGTCCGGTAGTATCGTCGACATCACCGTCGCGCGCAACCACGCAGCCGAATCCGCCAGTGCCGCCAACTTCCAGTCGCTCCAAAAACGCATCCTCAATACCTATGGCATCAAGACCCCCACACCCCCGGTTCTCCGTCTCCGTAACGCAACTCAAACTTCCCTCGTCCTGGAATGGGACCCTATTGACCTAGCCACCGCATCCCTGAAGTCACTCTCCTTGTACCGCAATGGCTCCAAAGCCGGCTCCATTCCCCGTCCGCTTGAGACGCGAAGCACCAAGATTAGCGGTCTAGCCATCCACACCGAATACACCTTCCATCTCGTCCTGCGCACCACCGCCGGCACTTACCAGTCGGAGAAGTTGACCTGCCGCACGCACAAGATGACAGATCTCTCCGGTATCACAGTGACGGCGGGCGTCCTTCCCCCACAACAGAAGGATGCTCTTGCAGCTGCGTTGGATCGCATTGGTGGAAAGCTGATCGACTCGGTCCGCATTGATACCACCCACTTTGTCTGTACCGAGGGGAGGGGTCCGCTCTGGGAGAAGGCTGTTGAGATGAACATCCCCGTGGTTGTTCCGGAATGGGTGGATGCTTGCGAGGCTGAGGGCACTATCGTCAGTGTTCGTGGGTATTACCTGAATGCTGATCCCAAGGCAAGACAGCTGGGCCCGATTCACAGCTCTACCCAGCACCAACGAACGGTTTCTACCGCCACCTCGAATCTGGCGCCCCCAGCTGCGCAGGCTCAGACCCCTTCACGGCAGACGGGGCAGGAAGATGAGCAGAACCTTGAGCCCCCGGTTACGCCGTTCCCGGGAGCTGAGATGACCGGCCAGCCCATCGCGGAAGAGAAGGAGGTGGGATCGGACGAGAGCACAGAGTCGCCGCCCCCTCCACCTCCGAAGGATGCAGAGAAGGAGGATGAAACTGCCGAGCAGAATGGCGATCATGAGACACCGCCACCTCCGCCAGAGAAGGACGAGAGCGAGAGCGAGGGTGAGGGTAAGGATGAGGAAGAGAAGACCGAAGAGGACACGCAAGAGCCAGAAGAGGAAGAGAAAGAGAAGGACGACTCTTCAAATGCCAAAGAGCGCAAATCAAAGGAGGGAGGAGAAGGGGACTTTAATGAAGTCCCTCTGTAATGACGTGCCCCCGGTAGTAGACGACCGCTCCTGCTCCTCCCCCTCTTCCTCTTTTCATTTCTTCATCTACGATTCAAGTTGACTAGCGTCATGAGTGTATATCCGATACATTAGCCCTCTTCCCCCACCCCTACCACGACCCTTTATCACACGAGTTCATTTTATTATATTCCTTTCTTCAACACGGGCGGAAAGATGATGTCACAGGGCCGGTGTATGTTACGTTTCTTTCTTATTTTATTATACTATATTTTATATTGTATCTTCATTATGCCTATGCCTCTACAACATGTATGCTGTCCTTTCCACATTATCCCTGATCAAGGAAGTTATCATAATAGAATTAAGTAAAATTTTGTACAGCAAATACAAAACAATTAGGCAGCACCATGCACAAGTATTATTAATTCCCAATCAATTCTAGCTCTATCATCGCATAAAGTCTAGATGCTAGCTAGATGCATGCAATAAAATAACCCCGAAAAAGAAAATGCCCCGAAATGTAATATCTGTACATCGTCGTCGTCCTCGCATTCGCATATATAGTACGTTATCCCATCATTCATGGCGTACGTTAACCTCGTACATAGGTGAGGTGAGGTGAGGTAAGTCTATCTGCTATAAAAAACATTTTCCCCCCTTCTTTCTTCTTTTCCTTTTGGTATGTGTTGAAGCACTTATGAATAGTGTATGTACCTCGGGCAGAATGATTAACTACCCGAATAACCGCAATGGTTGAAGCGTTTATTTGACGTTGCGGACAATGTCGTCGAAAGCTTTCGCGACGTAGGCGACGTTCTTCTGGCTCACTGTTGAGAGGGGAAGAGAGGGTTAGTGGGTGTGCGTGTGGGGATTAAGATTGGGGGGTGGGGTAAGGGGGAAAGCTTACAGCCGCTGATGGAAGCTCTGCCGGATTTGATGAGGTAGACGTGGTACTTCTCCTTCAGGGCTTGGACCTGGGTAGGGGTGAGGCCGGTGTAGGAGAACATGCCGTTCTGTGAGGGAGTCATGGTTAGTATATATTGGTGGGACTGGGAAAGGTGAAGGAGGAATTGGTATGTACCTGTTCAACGATGTGCTTCCAGGTTCCGGGGGTCTCGAGACGGACGAGCTCATCGTACAGAGCAGCGCGCATGGCCTTGATACGGGAGCTCATGACCTTGAGATCATCGTGCCATTGCGTGGTGAGGGCATCGTTGGTCAAGACCTTCTTGACGATGGAGCAACCGCCAGTAGGACCCATAGAGAACTCGCCGCGGATGAAGTGGCAGAGGTTGTTGACGACGAGGTCGCGGAGGTTCTGGGAACCCTCTGCGACGACGTAGTGGAAAGCGCCGACACGCTGGCCGTAGAGACCGAAGTTCTTGGAGAAGGACTGCGCAACGCACATCTCCATATGAGGCTTCTCGTTGAGGAAGTAGCGCACGGCCCAGGCGTCCTCGTCGGCGGATCCGGAGGCGAAACCCTGGTAGGCGGAGTCGAAGAAAGGGAAGATCTTCTTGCGCTCACAGATCTCGGCAATGGCCTTCCATTGCTCCTTGGAGGGGTCGAGACCGGTGGGGTTGTGCGCGCAGGCGTGCAGAAGGATCACGTCGCCTTCCTGGGCGTCGGATTCCAGGGTGGACATCATGCCCTCGAAGTCGAAAGAGCGGGTCTCGGGCTTGTAGTAGGGGTAGGTCTTGCGGGGGACGCCGACGAGGTCCCAGATGGTGACGTGGTTGGCCCAGGAGGGGTCGGAGAGCCAGACGGTCTTGGGCTTCATCTTGTGAGCGAGGAAGAGAGCACCCAGGTGGTTGGCGCCAGTGCCGGCGACGGACTGGACGGAGCCAATGCGGGCTTTCAGGGCCTTGTGCTCCTCGCAAAGGTTCTTGGAGTCGAAGCCGAACATCAGGTCCCGAGCCAGCTCAAGAAACGGGATGTCGCCTTCAATCGCGGTGTATTCGTGGCGGAAGGGGCTGTCTTCGGCGAGCAATTGCTGCTCGGCCTTGCGGACAGAGGGCAATGGCCAGGGCTTGCCATCGTCAGTGCGGTAGACACCGACACCGAGACTGACTTTGTCGGGGAAAGTGTCGTTGGCGTATTCGCGGTTGAGGGCGAAGATCTCGTCCGCCGGTAGCGGAGTCAGGTTGAGGACAGTCATTGTGGTGGTGGTGGTGGGAGTGGTGGGAGTGGAATCGGTAGAGTGTTCAGGTGATTGCAGCCAGTAGTTCAGATCTGAGGGAAAGGATCTGAAGAGGTATATAAGGTGGAGGAGGGGCAATCGGTAAGATTTTCCGATAGAGAAGCGGCGGTGCGAAAAGGTGGAGCAAGGGAGGGAAAGATTTCAAAGATGGTGGAGGGGGTTAATAAGATCTAGTCGCGATGCAACACGAGGAGCGGATATTTACTGAGGGAGGGGGGAAAAAGAGGAACGGGTATGCTAAATTCAGTAATGAGGTGGATCAGTGTGAGCAATGAGTCAGGGCGTGGATGAAGAATTGAAGCCGTGAGGATTGGCCGATATCGCCCATCGCGACGCCAGCCGTGCGGGTTGGCGTCACAACTAAGTACCCGCTGCTGCTTTCAATCCCCCGATCCCCAAACTGCCTACGTCGATCGAAGAGATTTGCTTTTGTTTCTTGCCACTGACGATGCGGCAAATGCAATAACGGCAAAGTCTGTCTAGTTGAAAGGTTCCTGAGGAGGCGCAGTGGTGGGTCGAACCAGACATTGGGGAATGCGACCCTTCCTGCGTTGTGCCTGGAGCAGTAACTGACGGAGGAAGTTGGATATATTATTGTCTCTCACTTCCTCGTGTCATCCTCCTTCAACTCCGAGGGGCCGGATTGCGTGTCCCTGCCTCACATTGCTTAGCGCACTCGCAGTTCGTAATTGTTGTCTGCAGGATCCATGTCAGATGAATTGATACTAGCTTTGTCTATGCGAGTCAGCTGCCGGGTGGGATAGACCGTTAGTCGACTCTACGTAGTCAATGAGACAATGATTAACCACCAATGCTACCCTAACTAACCCTCTACTAACTACCAACTACAAGACTATCAATCGCTACTGTCATAGTGATTGACGGACAGCGACGGAGCTATAGCAAGTAGACGGCTACACCCGGCTATTGCTCAGAGCGCTGTCGGATCCGAAAGTAACCGAGCGGATATTCCGCGAGAACGATTGAAGCTATCATCAGAAGACCAGGCGTTATAGTGGTCATTCCCTGTTGTCCGACACTCAAAAGACGAGGATGGCATCAAT